CATACAAAATTCAGACAAATACGTGCTTTTTTCAATGCAAATATACCTGAGACTCCAGTGCTTCCAATTTACGCTTCCTGGCATGAAGAGCTTTACTTGGAAAAGCCCAAAAATAATTGGAAGTTCCAATTCTATCAGTATCCACCATGCCGTCATCAACTAAACTTTGCAGGATCTCCTTTACTGACATAGTAGCTAACAACAAAAACAAAAGTCAGTTTTTCTTCAGTGTACGTGTTAGGTGGTTATATTTTATTTTAAAAGAACATGACTGAGTAGCAAATATATCACTGTAACTGAGATTAATGTACTAGACCTGTTTACATTTTCACTGCAGATGAACCCAGCCCCGTGAACCCCTACATGAGGATGCTGGCTCCCATCAGTCCTTCGCAGGACCACCAACTCTGTTGGCCACACGTGAGCTGGGAATTGGCGGCCCCGAGAGGGGTCAGAAGCAGCCAGGTCAGAGTGGTCCCTGCCCACGGTTTAACATTTAACTTAACGTTTAACTGAACGTTAACTGGTTAACTTAACGTTTAACCAGTTAACTAATTAAATGGGATTTTACATCCCTAACGGCAACATAAATATAGCACAATCCACAAACGCATATTTCTGAATAGTCTACCTCCTTTTTCATTTGCTGTTTGGAAGACATCAAAAATAAAGATCTTGTGCCACAGCCACTCCATGCAGAGAATCTCTTTGAAGTGAATGGCAGTATCATGCATAGGGTAGCTTACAATAAGATGACAATTTGTTACCTGATATTCTCCATGTTGGGTAATGATTGTTCCCCTAATAATCCAAAGCAGTTTGTAATGTAGCAAGCAATAAAGAAAAACAATCAGATCAAGTGAAATTAGCAATCCCCTTTTCTAAAGTAACAAGTACCGCTTTACAAAGAGAAAACCTTTGTGCAAAAGGACAATTATGTGTAAAATTGCAGGTCAGAACTGTAGTGCTTAGTAAAAGTGATAGAGGACCAAATGGCAGTCTCCAAATTACTTCTGCAGTGCCTGATGCTCTTTTGGTCTCTAAAGTTGCTAAGGATCCAGTTAAATGAGCCACAATCCCATCTAGAATAGGTTTATGTGTGGCAAAATATGCCTCCATGATGCTGTTTGCATAATAGTATTGCTTTAAATTTCTCAAGGACCTGGGAGATTATTTTAACATTCAAAAATATATTAAAACAACTCAAATTTGTGGGAAGAAAGAAAACCAAAAAGGCGAGAGACTGCAGGGCAAAGCTTGACTAAATGAGGCAGTGATCTGTGAGAAGGGAGCATGAGACTACATAATTTAAAATTATCTTAAGACAAAAGGGCAAATTAGAAGTTGTCTGGGCAACATTAATTCTAGCATTTCTTAATGTTTAATTTTTTAATTTTGCATGTACTTGTACTCTTGGTGAAGCATTAATCAGCAGTAGAGGTTCTGGAGCACTCTGTCTACAGACTCAAAAGGACAAAATTGTATGTGTTTATATTAAGTACACATATTGTAATCAGATGGGAGAGAGACAATTTTAAGCAAACTAATGTTTATTCTTGAAAAACTAATGCCCCACACTTGCCCAGGAAAGTTTGCCATTCAACTTAGCAAAGTGGGTTTTTTCAAGCATGGTAAATATGAAGTTCACAAGCAATCTTCTATAGACTTGAAATGGTATCATTGTCATCTACATGAGTCAACTGGCAGAGTATTCAGGTATTCAATAAAGGATTGCAAGAAAAAGTTTCTACATCAGATATTTTTAAATTGTATTTAAAAATCTGTTAAGCTTCTTCCCGCAATATTTAATACTGCAAGTATGTTGAGAAATGAACTGAAACCTTATCTTGTCTCCATAGAGCTTTTGCAAGTGCCTCTATCCTCTGTGACTTTTTTTAAAAAATGTGTTTCAATAGTAAATATTTTTCAGGTTAGAACTGAGCTCCCCTGCAGCAAAACTACTTTTTCTTTATCCATGATTGAAGCATGATGTTGTAAAGATGAGCTGATCAAGAAGGTGAACATTTGTACACAAGTACTAAAACACAGCTGTAAAAAGGAAAAAATATACAAGGAATATAGGAACAGGACTGGAAGTACACAAAATATACAAAAAGTCATCTTGGTCCTGATCCAAAGCCAATGGAAGTCAACAAAGAGCCTTCTGTTGAATTTCATGGGCTTTCAAACAGGTCTTTCCTGCACTGGATAGTTTTGCTTGAGAAATGCAAGACACTACAGTTTGATTATGCACGTGTGTGGACCAAATCTTTAAGATGTGGGTGACCAAAGTTGGACACCTAAATCATTAGTTAAACACTGAAACATATAGCACGATTCTCAAAGATAAGCACCCACAGGTCCCAATGACTTCAGTGAGTCCTTAGCACTTTTAAGAATCATGCCATGTATTTATGAAGCTAATCAGGGATACAGGTTCCAGACTTTAGACATCAAAACTTGAAAATTTTGGCCTTATTGCGCAATATAAGTTACAGCTACTGGTAACATAGTTTTGAGAAGTTTATGCATAAAATGTATGCAAGCCAGTACCACCTCACAGCTAGGTATTTTTCTTTTGTTTCATGTTATTCTTATGAAGATCCTTAAGTCAGTGTTATTTGAAAACAAAAATTCAAATGTGTGACTGGTTCACAAAACAATTCTGAATGTCTAAACAAATTTTAGACCAAAAAAAATGTTAATACTCACTAATTCCTTTCTCTTTGGGTGCAATCTTCTCCAGATCCTTTAACTGAAAAACATCTTTCTGTTCAAAAGACAAGAGGCACATCTCCTCTAAATGACAGTCTTATTTAAGTCATGTTTATGTTCTATACTCAATTAATTACAACAAACATACAAGTAAGCATATCTAATTTTTTTTCATTTCTCTGGGAAAAATACTGCATGCTTCTCAAGACAGAGCTGAAGTTTTTTGAAAATTAAAAGTGATTTTATCTTGTTTTAGCCTTTGTTATTTCTTCCAGTTTTTCCTCTGTTACTCTTAATTAATTGCTTCATACCTAAATTTAGACTCCAAAGGGTAATGCACGCTGTGGTCAGATCCTCATATCCTAATTTAGCTACTTTTGCACCACAATAAATGTATTTTAATAACTTAAATATTTAAAATATGTAGGATGTGTCACAAATAGGGATGTAAGCGACTAGTTGACAAGTCGCTTTCCCCCCATTTGCTGCCTCTATCAGAAAGAGGCAGTGGGGGGGGAAGAAGAAGAGGTGCAAGAAAAGGGGGTGCTTCAAGATGGCAGCATCGCGTGGAGCCCGGGGTCAGACTCTGGGCTCCACGCGTCACTGCTGCTTTGAAATGCTGCATGGACCCTGACCCAGGGCTCTTGTACATTTCAAAGGCTGAGGTGCCAGGGATCGTGAAGCAAGAGGGAGGGTCACCACTTGCGCCACACTCCCTGCATGCTTCTGCCCTTGAAATGTAGAAGAGCCCCAGCAGAGCTCTTGTACATTTCAAAGGCTCAGGTGCCTGGGAGCGCTGGGCCAGTGGGAGAGTCCCCGCTGGCCCTGCGATACCTGCGGGGCTTCCACTTTTGAACTGTAGCAAGAGCCTGTAGGCGGCCTTATAGACTAATCGAATAGTCGATGGAAATACCATCAACTATTCAATTAGTTAATTAATCTAAATTTTACACCCCTAATCGGGTAGTAGTAAATTGACTAGTCGCTTCCCCCCAGCTTGCTGCCTGTCTCCGATAGAAACAGAGAAGAGGTTGGCAGGAGCTGGTGGGAGCCGGCTTAAAAGCCAGTTCCCCCAGTACTATCTCCAGGGGGCAGGAGAGGCACAGACGTAGTGGGGAACCAGGCGCGAGCAGGGAATCAGCTAAGCCCCAGCTCGTGCCCAGTCCCAGATGCTGCGCCTCTGCTTTTTAAATGTATTTAGAGCCCAGCAGCTTAGTACATGTAAAAAACAGATGTGCAGTGGGGGGAGGGAGAGTGAGCTGGGGTCTGCTTTTAAAATGTATTAAGAGTTCAGCGGCTAACCCCACCGCAGCTCTGCAGTTTTCCCCCCTTATTGACTAATCAAGTAGTCAATGAAAGTTCCATTGACTACTTGATTAGCTGATTACCTGCAATTTAACATCTCTAGTCACAAACACAAAGATGTGCTTTCCCCTACAATGGTCCTCTTTTGGCTGCATTCTCATCCTTCCCCATCCTATTCTGCTGTTTCATCCTGCTCCCACATTGTCTGATTTGAGCATCCCTAACTACCTCCCTCTTCCTCCTATGGCATGAAAAGTGAAACTGATAGATTTGGAATCGAGGGAACAAAGCAAATACTGAAAACTTCCCTAAGTCCTGTTGAATTTTACTTTGCTGCTCCCTCACATATGGACTGGAGTTTATTAATGTGCCAGATGAAAAGGCTTTGTGCAATCCATCTCTGTTACACATGCCAGACCCTCTACAGGAAAATGTTTAATAAGTACTACACAGAAGTACATAAAGCACAGCAATTACTGATGTTATGGGAAATCTAACTTTGGATTTCCTGACTATTGTACCTAAATTCAAAACCATGTATTTCCAGCAGCCGAGATCTACCAGGCGGCTGGGGAGGGGAGCCCCGCGCCCAGCAGTGGAGCCCCACAAGCAGCCAGGGGCAGCAGAGCCTGGCAAGCAAGCCAGGGCAGCATGCTGGCAGAGCCGAGGGCCCAGAGGTCTGACCGCCCCATGTCCAGTAAACTCTCTTGTTCGGGAATGCTCAGGTCTCAAGGGCGCTGGATCAGGGAGGTTCAACCTGTATTTACCATCTGCACTTTACACACGGGGAAACAGGCACAGAGCAGGGAAGCGACTTGCCCAAGGTCATCCAGCAGGACAGTAGGAGAGCCAAGACCTGAACCCAAGACTCAGTGACCTGGCCACTCAGCCACTAGCAACTTATGGATGTTCCCAATGGTCAGGAAATGTATGAAAATTAACACACTTACTGTTTCAAAAAAAATTTCCATCATACGAGTTCTCTTCTCTTCAACACTCAGTCCCTTTTTCTTAGACTAAAACATAAAATATATTCAGTGCTTTAATGCCAACATTGTGCATTGTGGTTAATAGCCATTGATGGACCTATCCTCCATGAACTTATCTATTATTTTTTTAACTCTGGTATAAACTTGGCCTTTACAACATCCTCTGGTATCTTTTAATGCTATCTTGAGAATTAATTTTATTCTGACTTCACATCTAGTTACCTCTACAAGAAGCATTTCCTTGACCTCTCAATACTCTACCATACCACAATACTCCCTGGAATAGGACTTCTTTACAAAGGAAAACCATGCCAGGCTAATCCATTCAAAATATACTGTTTCAAAGACATTAAGTATGGAACTAATTTGTTGTATAATCTAATTCATCCCCTACCTCACATAGTTTCCAAGGCTTTTTATTGTATCCCCATATTTCCTTGTTTGTCTTGCCTTACCAACATTAGACATACCAATTCCAATCTCTCGACAGCTGGCACCAATCCCCATATAGTCTATAGTGTGAGAATTCCTGCCCATTGTGGTTAATCGCCATTGATGGATCTATCCTCCATGAACTCATCTAGTATTTTTGAGCCCTGGCATAGACTTGGCCTTCACAACATCCTCTGGCAACGAGTTCCACGGATTAACTGTGTATTCTGTGAAGAAATACTTCCTTTCATTTGTTGCAAACCTGCTGCCTTTTGTTTTCATTTGGTGTACCCTAGTTCTTGTGTTATGAGAAGTAGTAAATACTTCCTTATTTACATTCTCCAAACCATTGTAGACCTTTATCATATATTTCCTTAGTCCTCTCTTTCCCAGGCTGAAAAGTGCCAATCTTATTAATCTCTCCTCATACGGAAGCTGTTCCATGCCTCTAATCATTTTTGTTGCCCATTTCTGAACCTTTTCCAATTCCAATACCAATACATCTTTTTTGAGATGGACATCTTATGCAATATTCAAAGTACTGACCCCAGGACAGACCTCTGTGGAATGCCACCACTTGCCTCTCTCCATTCTGAGAGCGGACCATTTATTCCTACCCTTTTGTTTCCTTTTAACCAATTACCAATCCATAAGAGGACCTTCCTTCTTATCCCATGATGGCTTACTTTGCCTAAAAGCCACTGGTGAGGGACCTTGTCAAATGCCTTCTCAAAATCAAGTACACTATTAGGGATGTGAAGGTTAACTGGTGGGGCTGAAACAGTTCCCCACCTGCCTCGAGTAGAAGGCTGCTCCAGCCTCAAGTAGACAGGGGCTGCTCCAGTGCACCCGTCTGCAATGGGCCCAGGCATCCCGCAGGCAGGGGATGCTCCTGCAGAGATGCCAGAGCAGCCCCTGACTGCAGGGTAGGTCCGCAGCAGACCAGGGCCCAACCATAGGCCCAGAGAACCCCTGCTTGTTTAACTGATTAGTCAATTAAATGAGATTTTACATCCTTATACATGATATCCAGTGGACCCCCCTTGTCCACATGCTTGCTGACCCACTCAAAGAATTCTAGTAGATTGTTGAGATATGATTCCTCTTTACAAAAAATACATTGACTTTTTCCCAACAAATTATGTCCATCTATGTGTCTGAGAATTTTAACTAGTTTGCCTGGTACTGAAGTCAATCTTACCAGCCTGCAGTCACCAGGATCTGTGTTAGAGCCCTTTTTAAAACTGGAGTCATATCAGCTATCCTCCAGTCATTTTGTGCAGAAGGCGATTTAAAGGATAGGTTACAAATAATAGTTAGTAACTCTGCAATTTCACATTCGAGTTCTTTCAGAACTCTTGGATGAATATCATCTGGGTCTGGTGACTTCATTACTGTTTAGTTTATGAATGTGTTCCAAAACCACCTGACATCTCAATCTCTGAGAGTTCCTCACAACTATCATCCAAAAAGAATGACTCAGGTTTAGGAATCTTCTTCATAACCTAAGTAGGGATGAAAGCGACTAGTTGACTATTCGATAAGCTTATGCTTATTGGATAGTCAGCTAGTGATGCAACTAGTTGCTTCCCCCCCACTGCTGCCTCTATCAGAGAAAGACAGGAAGGGGCGGGGCCGCAGAAGCTGGTGGGAGCTGGCTTAAAAGCCAGTTCCCAAGCACCATCTCCATGGGGGGCAGGGGAGATACAAGCACAGTGGTAAATGGCGCCAGCGGGGACTGAAGCAGTCTCTGCTCACGCCACTTCTGCTGCAATTCTGCTTTTGAAAGGCTCAGGCACCACAGGGAGCACAGGACTAGTGGGGGGACTCCCCCACTGTCCCCACACTCCCTGTGGGGCTTCCTTCTGAAATGTACAAGAGCTCTCCTGGGACTCTCATACATTTCAAAGGCTGAGGCACTGCAGAAAGTGTGGGATCAGCAAGAGTCCCCTGCAGGCCCCATGTTCCATGCAGGGCTTCCGCTTCTGAACTGTAGCAAGAGCCCAGTAGACCAAGGCATCTCACCGACTATTAGATTAGTTAATTAATCTAAATTTAATATCCTTAATCTTAAAACATGAAAATTGATGCAAATAATTCATTTAGTTTCTCTGGAACGGCATTATTGTCCTTGAGTGCTCTTTTGATATCCCAGTCGTCCAGTGGCACCACTGGTTGTTAGGCAGAATTCCAGCTTCTGATATACTTAAAAAGTAATAGCAGGAAAAAAAAGATGAGTTCTTGGGTAGCTGTATTTCAAATTCTTTTTTGGCCTTCCTGATTATATTTTTATACTTCATTTTAGAGATGTCAACATGGAGTCAACTATATGATTAACCGATCAGCCTAGGCTTATTGGTTAATCTTGTCGACTATACACATTCCCCTCCCTCTCTCCCCCGCTGCCTCTGTATCAGAGGCAGCAACGGGAGGGAACAGGAGCCAGTGCTGGGGGGAAACAGATTAAAAGCCAGTCCCTCCACCCCCGTATCGTCTCCATGGTGCCATCTGTTCCTCCTCACTGCGCTGTTTCTTCTATCAGAGGCAGCAGTGGGGTGGGGCGGTAGAGGTGGCTGCCTGGG